GGATAGAGCCACCGCAGCCGTCTCAGGGTATTAGGGGCTAGCCTACCCTTCCAACTGCTGACCTGGTTGCAACTGGTTAGGTCACCTCTCCTGCCTCCTCCCCCACCCATACGGCAACCACCCCAGTCTGGCTGGCCCAGTGCAGGAAGGCACCTTTGTTCCTTCTCCTGCCGGAAGCGGATCAAAGGCACACACTTTGATCTGCCTTCAAGTTCACAGTGACGTGTCCTAAGTTCCAGGTACACATTGTCCCCCCACCAAAAAAAAAAAAAAAAAAAACAACCTAACACTCATGCCGCTGACATCAGGCTGACTGCTGGGAACAGCACCGGGAACCTGAGTGGCACTTGCCACTGTGACGTGTATACACAAGGCTGTGAGTGGGCTATTGGGCATGAGGTGTGCGTGTCCATGCCTCTGGGTTGTGGGGAGGGGTGTGCGTGGGTGAATGCATATTTCTTGGATTGTGTATATGCGGAGCAGACGTGAGGGAATACACTTTTTTTTTTTTTTTTTTTTTTTTGATGCGTGTGTCTGAATGTGTGTGGACCCTTCCCCATCAGCTGGCTGTGCAGCCTCCCATTCTGGTTTCTGTGTACAGGCACAGGCGGGTCCTGCCCTCTGCTATCTGTGTACCTTCCTGTTTGTGGCTCCTGTCTGGCCGCAGAACTGCTATCCACAGGGCTGTGTATGAGACCCTGGAGGGACTGGGCCTGGCAGAATTAATTATACCAACACTAAGATCACTGCCACAAGGGACCCAAGTTTAATCACTAGCTCATCACATGACTGGCTTCATGCCTGCTCCTACCAGGCCCTTCATCCATGGTTATCGGACCTTGTCTATCAGGTTTGCTTGTCTCCCTGTGGCAGCTCATCCGGTGTTCATAATGTACCCTGGCTGCTTCAGAGGCAAGGTGACACGGACCTGTGCCACAGAGGCAGATCTGATCTGAACATCCCAAATGGTTCAGGAGGGGGTGCCTGTGCATGGGAGGCAAGAGGCCACTTGGAACCCAGAAGGCAGAGCAGCACTCCTTCCCCGAAGCTCTCAGCTTCTTCATGTGCTTCGGGGACCTGAGGTGGCCAGTTGACATGTCCTTGTGGCTCCTGTCTGCAGAGGAGCAGGCCCTTGAGCCTCTGGTCCTGGCTGCAGGGTGGGGAGGGTGACCTGGGGCTGGAAGGTAAGAACAGCAAAGGTTTAGGGGAGCACAGGCCTTGGAGGCAGAAATCTATACAGGAGGTGGTATGGGGTGGTGAGCACCAAGGCCCAAGCATGGAGAAAGGCCTTGACTTCTAAAGTGTGCGATTGCTTCCTAAAGTGTCTGATGTGCATTGTGGAATGGGGACCATGGCTGCCTGGGAACTGGGCTGGTGAGGAGTGCTGATACGGAGAGTTAAAGGCAATGACGCTGGCTTCACGCTATGGAAAGAGTCTTGGGGCAGCACGGTGTTCATGTGAGTGCAGACGGTTTCAACCTTTGTTCCAGGGCACAGAAGAGTGAAGGTGGCTCTTCCTGTCACTAGAGATGTGGTTACAAAAGGTGGCAGAGCCAGAAGGTAGCCCCAGGCAGTGACTGGCCTTGAGGATTGCTCCCACAATCCTGACCCTCTAGGCCATCCGGATACCCTGCTCATGCCCAGCAGGCTGGCATCAGGACTAATGACAGGCGGCAGGAAACCAAAGTTGCTGAGTGTCTGTCCAGGCCACTGAGGAGGCCCTCCATTATCTCCCCCCTGTTCCGCTGTCCCTTGCTCACCACGCCCTTGCCCTGCAGAGCCCTGCTGATGTAAAAACAGATCCATTCTTGGCGGTCTCATCCATGTCATCAAGGTCTGTTTCTCTTCACAGGCCCTTCTTCCTCCCCTCCCGGCCTCACCAACTTCGGTGTTTAAAAATAACGCTGTAATCTTAGAGCAGCATTCCCCAGCTGACCAGCAGAGAGGGTGGGCCATGGTGGTGTGTGCCAACCGTGACCCTGGATCCTGTCAGACCTCAGCCAGGGAAGTCCCATATCACTCTCAGGCTACTCAGGTCCTGTGGGTGGCAGGAAAGCTACCATCTTAGGCAGTTGACCAGTTTTCGAAGTGCTGGAAGATACAGGGATAAATCTCAGAAGAGCCTGTGCCACACGCTCGCTCTCATGCTGTTTTGGCATTAGGAGGTAGAATGCTCTTTGTCTCCTGTCTCCAGGCTGAGTGGTCGTGTGAGTCTGGGCTGGTCACTCCACCTCTCTGAGCCTTCGTTTCCTCTCTGCTGAAATGGTCTGTGGGTATCGGGTTAGTGTGGAAATTAGCCGAGATGATGCTGTGCTGTGTGGGGCAGAGCGTGCTCTGTGAAGACCCAGCCAGCATAAGGCAGCCACTTCTAGGGCTATCACAGTCCCTGTCCCTCTCCAGTGGACTGAAATCCAGCAGATGCCACTTTCTGCACGTCCCAGATAGGAGTATGTGACTGTGTGACGCTCCCTTCCCACAGGGGCTTTTAATCCTGGTTGGCTTCTCTGAGGCCAGCGCTGGGTAGGAAAAAAGCACCCTGTTGGACCACGGAGCTGAAAACCACTGAGACCGTCGAAGGCTGGTTCACAGTCAGACTCGGCCACAGGGTCGCTTATTGTGGGCAGGACCTGCTGGCCCACAGGCTGGAGTGTACACAGTTGGCTCTGAGGGTGGCAGGAGCATCAGTCTCAGAGGAGACTGGTGGCATGCATTCCCCAGAAGGCCTTGCAGCCCCTGGGTGCTGTTTGGCTATGGGGGGTAGAGTGAGTTTTGGGTCCATTTTGCCTCCTGTCTCAGTGGCCAGCAAAGGAAGGAAAACCCAGCAGGAGAGTAAGTGAATTAAGATCCTGGTGTCAGAAGGGGGCAGGGCCTTACGGGTCTGAGTTGAGGGGCAAGTTGAAATAAGGGCAGAAATCCTGGAGGCGACAGTTACTTATGTGACTCCAAGGGAGCAGGACCTGGACTCACCCCAGCAGGAATGACAACCTCCACAGCCTCAGCCAATATACGGGGACTTTGCTGGGAGGGGGAACTGAGACAGAGCGCTGAGGTGGATGCCTCAAGCCGGCAGCTCTTTGATTCAGCAACCCCAATCCCCTTCTTGATATAGAAACAGAAGTGGGGCAGCCCCTCCCCACAGGCCAGGAGGGAGGCGGGGCATCTGGAGACCCAGACAACCTCTTCAGGCCTCCCTTCCCTGAGCTGTAGTGTGAGAACCCCCCATCCCCACCCCCAAGTGGTGCGGGCACCTCAGGGGTGCTTTCTCCTCACAGTGCATTTTTCAGAGCCGGCCCTGTGGGTTCCCACATGGAAATCCTTTCCTAAATGTTCTCAAAAGCCTTAATCTCTGTTCTTCCTCCCAGGAGGGCCAGGGGCGGGAGGTCAAGCACGGAACAATTAAGCAGCTTACAGCTCAAGAGGAAACAGGAGGGGAAGTAGGGTACAGACGGGCCCTCCTCAAGGCCCCATGCCACCATCAAGACTCACCGTGCTGAGCTTTGGCGACATTTATCTGAGAGTCAAGCTTGTCCCCTCTCTTTGGCAAACTTAACTACTCAAGGTCAGCACCTGTCCCTAGAGGACACACACACACACACACACACTCCTCAAGACCCAGGCTACTGGGAAAGGAAAGGCTTTTCACATACATGCCTGGCCAACCTCCAGATCATCTCAGTGGCCCTCAGCCAACCCCGGCTCTCTGATCTCCGAGGAGACAAAGTAAAGTTCTCTCTTGTTGACACTCTCCCACCTCTTCCCTCTGTAACCAGAGCGAGGTGGCAGCAAACTGGCTAAAGGAGGCTGAGGTAAGGCCTGGAACAGTGTGGGCAGAGAGAGTGGCACCCCTCTGTGGGCATGGCTCTTGCAATGCTGAACTGTATTTTTTGGCAGTGCACTTGGCCATTGTCCCAGACTGTCCCCGGAATGCTGATCTTTGCTCTGGAGACACCAGAACCATGTGAAGGGGCTGGAGTCTATCCTGAAGATGGCAGGGACGTAGGGACGGGGTAGACAGCCAAGCTGGGGAGGGGCACAAGGTCCCCTACCTGTGCACAACATAGGCTGTGGTCATCAAGTTCTAGGTCCCTTTTTCTACAGATATGACTCCTCTAGGTACTTTCCCTGAGTGACAGTCAGCCGGATTACTCCATGTTTGTATTTCTGGGTCTGTCTTAGCAGACAGACACAACGGTTAGCAAATTCTCCCACTCAGTAGAGTGTTTCAGAACCTCCTTTCCTTTTTGCAGTACTGGGAATTGAACCTGGGGCTTTGCACACTCAAAGCAAGCACTCTACCACTGAGCTACATTCCCAGTTCATTACCTTCCTTTTTAAGGCTGAATAATATTCTACTGTGTGTGTATACATGTGTTTGGTTTATCCCCTGGTGTCTGTGGAGACTTAGGTTATTTTGGCTGCTGCAAGTAAAGACTGTGGGTATCAGGTGTGAGTATACGGTGGATCTTCTGCTGTGGTCCGAGTCTCCCAGCGCCGGCCCCTGTTCACCCATGAGTGCTATGGCTTCTACACTGGGACACGTGACATCAGGAAGGCTTCCTTCTCCACTGTTTGCTTTCTCTTTGGTCGGCTGCTGTGTCCCTCATGCCTAGAAGTGTGGCCTGGTCTGTGTCTGCTTGCAGAAAGGTTAATGGAAGCTGCCTTCAGAGATAGCGCAGGGAGGCAGCGTCCCTAGCCCTGAGGTGGCAGAGGTAGTGGACCTGTCATCCCCCTCCTCCTGGACACTTTAGATGGATGGTGATTTCACCACCTGCGCCATCGGCATCCTTTGATTAAGTCTCATTTTGCCGTGAAAAGCAAAGGAGGTGATGGGGCTGCTGGGGGAAGGTCACTCATTCCAGAGAGGAAATTGGATGGAGGTGTTTTTATCCTCCATCCGCCCGCCCCGGCTCCTGCTGGCTGCTGCCTGTCTGCTGTCCCTCCTCTGCGGGTAACAAAGCAAGTGTGGGGAGACAGTTGCCGCGACTCTCTGTCTTACACAGGCAGCGCCGGACGGGCCAATGCCAGCCGGATGATGACCAGTTGTAGCCAGCGGTCCCGGAACGTGCTCGCAGTATTCTCCCTGCTGTTTCCTGCAGGTAAAACTTCTGTGGGGCTCAGGGGATAGGAGGGAATGTGGGGAGGGACCCTTCCAGGGCAGGGCTGCAGCTGGGGCTTTTCTTGTCAACGGGACAAGGATACCTTAGTCTCCTGATGATGTTGTCCTGAAATGAGCTGAGGCCCTTTGGATGCCGGGGGACCATGGGACTGCCAAGCGCCTGCAACTCACACTTGCTCCTCTAGTTCTGCAAATCAAAATCAGGCAATGCCAGTCTACCTCTTTGATAGGTGAGAAATTAAGGCTGGAGAACATAGCGAGTGGAGGGGCTAGGATTCAGACCCTGGGCACTAGAGCCACACCCTCCTGGCACTAGTCAGTCTCTGGGTGATGCTGCAGGCAAGCTTGGACTTACAGAAACCAGACCCTCTGTGCCTCCAAACTAGAACTGAGCCAAGACTAGAGACAGCCCAGATGGCCAGCCAGGACCTAGCCTGAGCCTGACCCTACACAGAGGCTCTCATGGCATTGTCTGTGTCCCACCCTCTCTCCTTTTCTGTATCATTCTGTTTCTTTGTATATTTTCCCACCTCTCTGTGTATCTCTTATGTATCTCTCTGTTTCTTTTGTATATCTCTTTCACATGTCTCTCTCATATCTCTTTCTTAATCGTGTGTCTGTCTCTTTCTGTCTGCTGTGTGTGGCTCTTCCTCTCCTCTCTGAACCTTCCCCACATCATGACCAAGCCATTGCTCAGGGCCCGTGGCTTCCTTCCCTCATCCTTTGCTTGGGGTGTAGCTCAAAGGAAAGATTGTGAAGGGGCTGGGTGGGGATAGCACTCCCAGGAGAGCAGAGCAGAGGCCAAGCTGAGGCCAGAGTCTGGGGCCACCACCTCCCCAGGCCTTCCCATGTGATAGGAGGCCCTTGGTCCTCACCTCCCCAGCTCTTCTTCATGTGATAGAGGACCTGGTCCTCATTATCCTGGGCATAAAGACTCAGTCATCTCCTGTTCCCACTGAGGACAGGGACTCAGAGAAGGCAAGCGAGTGATGGCCACCAACTGGAGAATAGCTGACCCTGCTTGGGTCACCAGAGCTGGGGTTCATCATGCTTTATACAAGTGCTGGGGTGCTGGGGTGCTGGGGTGCTGGGGTGCTGGGGTGCTGGGATCCACAAGAGCTGGAGGCAGTAAACGTGCACTCACCGGTGTGCAAAGAGCTCCTTGGAGCCCCGCCACAGGGGCACTGATCCTTCTCCAACAAGAGAGGAGGCCAGGAGTGGTCCCCAGCTCCTCCGCCCCTGGGGAATCAGCAGGGTGTCCCAGTCACTGGCAAATGACTAAGGCCAGAGCACCCAGGGACAGCTATGGGGCTGTGAACTGGGTCCTGGGCAGGACCTGCCAGGCTCACCCTTGTGTCCACAATTGCTTCTGCCAAGGCCAGGCAGCCTCCTGCTATATGCTGTGTCTTATAGCCAATAGTCCCAGAGCCAGGCTTAGTCTTTCAGCTAGCACCTTAGGAATGTCCAGCTTTGCTAGGTGCCCACACGGAGCACACAGCCATGACAGGGCTTCAAGTCATGCAAGGGTCACGGGACTTGTATGCTCTCCTCTGCCTCTCACTGTTAATCTTGCTGTGTGCAGTTGCTCTTGGGGCAGTGGTCCCCTGCCCAAGTACACGGACATCCCTGGGGCATCACCAAGCAGCCTCTGGGTCCCTGGACAGGTTCTTCTCAAGATGAAGGGTGTGCTGGAGCCTGGAGGACCACTACCTCCCACTGTGTTCACAGAAGGAGGAACTATCCTTCGGGAAAGGGCCTTTGGAGCCAGCCTGGGGGCCAGCCCTCAGGGTGCCCGCCCCCTGCCAGCTGGCCCACTGGGGTCCCCCGCGGTGGCACTGTGTGGGCTGCAATCTAATAACCTCTCAGCCAACAGCGCTTCTTGTGGGAGCTCTAAGAAGCCGGGGCCTTTGTGCCTGAGATTTGCCTGTGCCAAGAAGCCCCTTTTCAGTGATACAAATTAGATACAGTGAGCCCTTTATGAAGATACTAATTAAGCCAGAGACAGCCGCTCCAGCTTTTCCATTGTTGCTTTGTTCGCATTGGTCCTGTTTATCACCATCAGCACATCCTGCTCTGCAGCAGAGAAAGCTGAATAGAGGCCTCCTTCCGTGGGCCAGGGAGGGAGGATCGGGGTCCAGCACAGCCCTCTCACTGTATGTGTGGGACCCACATACAGTGGAACCTTGCTCGGGTCTGAGACAACAGCTTCTAGACTGTAAGGCACAGAAGAGCTGGTACTTTTAATATAGGTGGGCCCCGGGTCTTACACTCCTTTGTGGCCTGACACCCAGGAAAGCGTGGCGTATACCTAGCCTACTCTGAAGTAAGCAAGAGAGAAAGAGAGAGCAAGAGAGAGAGAGACAGAGAGAATTTGCAGGAGCTGGCTTTGAGTCCTGTGTCATCGCCACTGACCAGCTCCGTTGAGTCCTTTGGGCCTCCTGGCCTCAGCTTCTCTACCTGTGAAGTGACAGCACAAGCCCGCCTGCTAGAGTGGCAGATTAAGTGAAGAAGCCCTGAGAACTAGGCTCTTAGGTGTCTAGTCACTATGGGCTGAGATGCTGGAGAAAATCCACCTAAGGGTGAGCTTCAAGGAGCCCCAAAGAGCACTCAGCCTGGGCTATTAAGACTAGTGTGGCAGAGCTGGGGGTCAGGGGTCCAGGAAGCTTTGGGGCAGAAGCGAGGCTCTTCCTGGACCATGAAGTTCCTATGGAAGGCGAGGGCCAGCAGGACCCTGGAGCAGCACCTGTGGGCTGCCAAGGGGACCCTGGCAAACCTGGTGTCTCTGTATTCCAGTCCTGTCCGCACATTTCCGGGTCTGTGAGCCCTACACGGACCACAAGGGCCGCTACCACTTCGGTTTCCACTGCCCCCGGCTCTCGGACAACAAAACTTTCATCCTTTGCTGTCACCATAACAACACGGTCTTCAAATACTGCTGCAACGAGACGGAGTTCCAGTCGGTCATGCAGGCAAACCTCACAGCCGGCCCCGAGGGCTACACTCACAAGTGAGTACCAAACCCCCCTCCCATCTCCTCTGGCCACTGCCCGCCCCTTCTCTGGGGATTCCACAGAGGCAAGGAGGCAGGCCTAGAAGGGACTTTGCAAAGACTGACTTGCTCTCCGAGCTTTCTAGTTCCCACCTGAGAAATGGGCATAGGGCATGGTTGAGTGGGGTCAAGTCTGTGATGCTTGGAAGTCACCGGAACTGTTTGGTTTGGTGCCTTTTTTTTTTTTTTCATCCAGTTTGCATTTAATAATGTTGGTAATAACATTGATGCCGAGACTGATCTTTGGGGACGTAGTTAAAACATGTTGCGATCAGATCTCCAAGAGGAATTTGCTGGTAGAACATGACTGGTAAAAGTGCCACACACATCCCAAGTTGACTGTCCTTTGCAGTGTTCGGGGTCATTGTGTTTCTTGTGTGCTGACTGTTGATGTGGTTTTGCCTTTTTTTTTTTTTTTTTGAATATTACATTTTTGGTGTTTTTTTTTATTTTTAGCAGGGAATCTTTATATATGAAGGAGACATGATACAAATGTTTTCCAGTGTGCCTTTCACTTTGAGGTGCATTTCACGCATGCTCAAAACCCGTCTTATGATCACAGAACGTTTTCCTTTTGTTTGTTTGTTTTTCGAAGTAGGGTTTTTCTGTGTCGTCTTGGCTGTCTTGGACTCACTTTGTAGACCAGGCTGGCCTTGAACTCACAGCAATCTGCCTGCCTCTGCCTCCCTGAGTGCGCCACCATGCCCAGCTTCTATTTATTTTTTTATGCTGTCTAATTAATACATGTCCTTTTGAGAAAGGCCTCTTCTTCTAAGATCATTGAAAAATTCTCCTATGTTCTCTATTTCATGTTTCAAATTTTACCTCCCAGTCTCTTATCTGTCGTTTAGGCCAGGCTTGTTCTAATGTAAGTTTTATGACAGGAGTGTCTTGGTTTCTTTTCCCATCACTGTGATAAAATACCCTGACTAAAGCAACCTAAGGGAGAAAGGGCTTATCTTGTCTCACAGTTCCTGAGGACACAGTCCATCAATGCAGGGAAGAAATGGCAGCAGACAGGGTAAGTGTAACAGAAAGAGAAGGAAGCTGGCTGGCCACACTGTACCTGGGAAGAAGGACATGAAGAGGAAGTGTGTCCGGGTTCCAAAGACTCTAGGCCAGCCCCTGGCGACTCAGTTCTTCCAGCAAGATTCCCTGTCTGAATGGTTCCACAGCCTTCACCAACAACACCACCATCTGGAGACCAAGTGTCCAAGCACATGAGCCTGTGAGAAACATTTCACCTCCAAAGACCAACAAAGCCCCATGTTCCTTGCTAAACTGTCTGGTGGTGTGATATTAAAAAACTCATGCTGTGCTATTATGTACCACACGTGAGCACCAGGGCAGAGCATCATAACCCCGTGGACTTTGCTGGCCCATGTCATATCCTTGTGTTACAATGTGAAGCTGCTGACTTCTGCTCTGTCTTCATGCTTCTGTGTTTTAATCATCCCAGGCTCTTTCGCACCTGATTCTTAGAACTTGCTTATCTGATTCTCCTGCTCCTTCCTATCCCTGCCCTCATCAAAACAAACCCCAAAATCCTGCTAGTGCTGACTACTTCAGTTTCTGCTTAGAATAAGGGAAAAAAATTATGACATTGTTTCTTTTTCAGTTTTTGGTGTTGACTGTTTCCACTCAAGAACACACAGCCAAAAAACAAACAAACAAACAAACAAACAACAAAAAAGAAAAGAAAAGAAAAGAAAAAAAAACACACAGCCCCTTTGCCCATTGATTCAACTTTTCTAGGCAAGTGTTCTGCCACTGAGCTAACCCAGCCCTTCAAATGTGCTTTTGTAATGCTTTTGATTTTCTTCGTAGGGAAGTCGTGCGTGTCGCCTGCATTTGTTTCTAGATTTTCATGTTGCTTTCAGGAATAGCCTCTTTCTTTTTTACCTTTCTGACTATAGATGATAAGAATTAGGGGTCTTTATTTATGAATTTTGTCCTCGGTTTTCGTGACTTTTTTTTTCAATCGATTCTCTCCTGTTTGCAATTATGCTGCTTGGAAGCAATAACTCTGCATCTCTCTGCCTTGCTTTTGAGGTAGGAGCTCACAGGATGGCCCCAGGACTTACATGAAGCCTCCTGAGGGCTGAGTTCATAGGATGGGCCTTAATTTCTGGTCTTGATTTCACATTTTCTGGCCTCAGGTTTTTGCTTGTTTGTTGTTGTTTTGTTTTGTTTTGTTTTGTTTTGAGACAGGGTTTCTCTGGTAGCCCTGGCTGTCCTGGAACTCTCTCTGTAAACTAGACTAGCCTCCAAACTCATAAAGATCCGCCTGCCCCTGTCTTTCCAGTGCTGGGATTAAAGACATGAGCCACCACTACTGGACATTTTGCTGTTGTTGTTCTTGATTGTTTTGGTTTTTTTTTTTCTGTTTTTGTTTTGTTTTGTTTTTTTCCCTTTTTCAGCTGTGTAGACTAGTAACTCTATAACAGGTCAACAGTCAGGCATTCTTATCTTCCTTGACATTATGGGAAGCTTCAAATCCTTTCCCAGTACACACTAGGCTGACTCCTGGGGTTGAAGCATTTTTCCAAGGTAGGGATAATGGACTGGATGGGGATCTTGTGGAGTGGCTGTTAATAAGATTTGTGCTAGCACTGGGAGCAGCAGGGCCGAGTAGCCAAGCCTCTAGCTCCGTCTGACGCTGGGGCTTGAGGCTTTAGGCTTTGCTACCAGACTGTGCTCACTCTGGGGAAGGTGCAGCTTCCCTTCGGGTGGGCAGGGGATGCAGACTCCCTGACTATCATCCAAAGCTCTCCTCCTCCCACCACGGCCAGCTTCTGAGAGCTCCTCTCTCAGATGCACCGTGCTTCCCCTGAATATCCTGCCATCTGCTTGGGCCTCGGAATAATCCTGTGTGTGAAGTAGCTCAGCAAGCCCCGTCCATCATAGTGGGCCTGGAACCGAGCCTAGAATTCAGCCTAAGCCTTTTGTAAGACCACGGGCTAGTTCCTTGAGGGGAAAGGGCAGAACCAGGAATGAGGTCAGGACTCCAGGTTGCTACAGGTGCCCCATGAAAGCCAGGCAGAGGCTGAGCCCCACAACCAGACTTCCTCGACAGAGGTCTGGCGCCTGAGGTCTGGGAGCCTTCCTTAGAAGCCCACAGTTTTCTATAATCTGCTTACACAGGGTTTCCCACAAAGCAGGCACAGGGGCCTGGCTGTTGCTGCTGGCTGCCAGTACAAGGGCCTTCCCCCAGAGGGAGTGGGAACAGTGAGTGAGGCTTTGAAGCTTAGCTTGAGTTTTTGTTCTTCAGCCTTCAGAAGCTTTCCTAGGGTATAGCGTCTGTGAGTCTTCATGCTGTCTGTCCTGCTGTGCATGCCACAGGGGTGCCCAGCTACAGCAAATTTGAGCCACGAGAACAGTGGGGACCACAACCATCCTAGGGCTCTGGAAGTCCTCTTAAGAACTCTGGAGAGTTCTTCTGATAGAGACAGAACTTAGGGAGAGGCCTAAGATCCCAGGCAGGGATTCCTCACAAGGCTCCCTGATGTTGGGGTCTAGTCATCTAGATCACTGTGAGATCACTTGGGCTTTGTAGGACCATCCCCAGCCTCTACCTGTCAGATGTCAGGAGCATCCATCCTACATGCACCGTGCTGACATCAGTATCCCTTGACAGATGTGGGGCCTGTTGACCTAGCACATCCTCCTGTGTAAGTCTCCATCCATCATCCTGATATCTCCTTTCCATAGATGAGAGCATAGCCCTCTGAGGATGTGAGGTGAGCCTGGACAGGCAGCTGGGCCCTACTCCTCACCACCGAGCCAGCACCCCTTCTAAGGGAGACAAGGTAGCCAGACAGAGAGGCAAAGTGAGGCAGACACAGGCGGAAGGAAGAGTAACTCTGGGCACACTCCTTGCGAGGAGGAGAGGACAGGAATGAAACTGTTAGACCTGGCCACCCAGCCAGGAAGGGACTTCCCAGCCAGGGGTGGGGCTTCTTAGCCAGGGTGGAGCCTCCCAACCAGGGGCGGGCCCTCCTGGACGGGGGTGGAGCTTCCCAGATAGGGGAGAGGCCTCCAAGGCAGCAGCTGGGCTTCCTAGCCAAGGTGGTGCCTTCCAGTTGGTTGGGACAGTTCTTCCGATGAGGCCCCTGTGGACCTAATCAGTCCACAAAAGCCAGAATGTGGCCTGGGTGGGAATTAAGCTCCACAGAGGGGCCATGGGAGCCCTCTGTCCTGCTTCCAGACTCAGGGACTTTGTGGGGAGAACTCAGGCCCAAGGAGCTGCAGCAGGGCTTGGCTTCCAAGTAGAGTCGGTAGCAGAGGGGGGTGACAGGAGGATGAGTCTTGGGGAGCGGGAAGTCAGGATGACAGCCTGAAACATGGCCAAAGAAGGTCATTATAGGGTGGACTCACAGTGTGGAGATCATTTGTGGATATACAGCCACTGTGGGCCTATAGTCTTGATCAGCCTCACCGACCCTCTGGGAGGAAAAACGAAGGGACCAAAACATGCTGATGAGGTCTCTCGTCCTTGACCCCAGCAGGTGATGACAAAAGTTGAGGCTGGGGACACAGGAGCATTGTTCTGTCATTCTAGCCACATGTTCAGGAAGCTGGGGGCTTGTCTGTGGCCAGGGGAGCTGTCCCATCTCCACTGAGGCAGGAGACCCAGAATCTCAGATGCAAACCTGTGGGGGCCCAGCCCCTGATGGCTCAAGCCAGCTGTGACCCCAGAGGGGCCTGTTCAGAATGCAGGCTCCGCCCTCTCCACCGTGAGTCATCAGGAGGCGGGCTGGTGATCTAGCTGAAGCTGTGTCTCTCCAGTGCTTTATTTATTTGTGTTTTTTGGATGAAGAGTGGTGTGTGGCGGATCCGGCTGCCTGGCAGAAAGGCGAGCCACGGAACGATAGGAGGCTGCTTTGCCGATTCCACCACCGCAGCAAGATGCCTGCTTCCAGCCGTGCAGGCAGCCAAGGGCCAAATGAGGGCCAGCC